TAGCACCACGCTCTAACCAACTGAGCTAACCGGCCACTTCTTGTTAAGCGCTTGCACTGATCTCCATAAGAATAACACAGGAACTACTGTTGCCATTTCTCCTCCTCTAGCTTACTGTAGACTCGTGTAACTACCGGTATTGCCTGTTCCCGAGACAACGTACTAAGTTCCCGCCCCGACAGCGGGGTCCGAGGTCCAGACTCCAGACCTTGTAGGTTCAATAAGCATATTTGAGCCAGCGATTATACAAGTCCGTTCAAAGGGTTCAGACTGGGGGCCATGAGTAAGCAGGAGCAACAACCCTAAGGTACAAACAGCCCACAGGTCTCATTCATTCAGGCTAGATTCATAGCTAGTAAGTTATACCCCCACGCATGGCTTTTTAAAAGTGAGACCAGTTTTATTTCATTAAATCGAAATATTTCTTTTGCCACTTATTTTAATATTATTTATTTTTAATTCCCATTTATTTTACATACTGCTTTTTAAACAAATATTGCATTGGTAAAATATGAGTCACGTATTATTTTCTTTCTATAACTTTTGGGTTTATTGTAAATTGTATCTTTATTTTACGTTAAAATAAACTTGTATTATTTATAGATGGTCAGTCCTGCAGCAAATCTTGCAGTTTTCAGCTGAGATTGCTACGTAGGCCATCAAACAAGAAAAAGAACCACAAACAGGGGGAGTGCAAGTTAGTAAACCAGTAATTCTGTTTAATGCACATGCATCAAATCCACTATTTTTTTCCCCTAATATTATAGGTTCTCTGGCAAAGCTGATGAACTTCTAACTGGATTGTAGCCACACCACTTTTACCGCTAGTTGTTTCACAGTGAATGACAGGTGGTAAGGATCAACTGTAGGCTTTACATACCTACCTAAATATGATTCTGAAAAGAGGAGGTAGTACTCACCTTACTGTTGCTATATTTAATGTATTGAATAAATATGGACCTATCTATACAGTACTATATACTTAATATACTTCTAAAATTGTTCATTAACCAGTAATTTTGTGTGGGTGTAGCAACAATTCATAGATTCATAGGACTGGAAGGGACCCTGAGAGGTCTTCTAGTCCAGTCCCCTATGCTCAAGGCAGAACAAAGTATTTGACCATTCCTGACAGGTGTTTGTCTAACCTGCTCTTAAAGAACTCCAATGACAGAGATTGCACAGCCTCCTTAGGCAATTTATTCCAGTACTTAACTACCTTGGCAGTTAGGAACTTTTTCCTAATGTCCAACCTAAACCTCCCTTGCTGCAAAATAAGCCCATTGCCAGGGCCGCCTTTAGCAAGAGCGGGGCCTGATTCCTCGGGGCGGGGCTTGCTGCCGGCAAGCCCCGCCCCCAGGAATCGGGCCGCGCTCCAGCTGGGGTCGAGGGGCTTGGGTCCGGGCCAGAGCCGCTGGGGCCGGGTCCGGGGGTGCTCGGCCGGCACACTCGGCCGGGGCCGGCACCCCAGGGCCCGAGCCGAGCCGGGTCGGAGCCGCACAGGCCGGGGCCGGGGGTGCTCGGCCGGCGCCAGGACCGGGCCGGAGCATTCAGGGGAGGGGAGGAGGGGGAAGTGAGCTGGGGGCAGGGTGGACAGCTGCGGGGCCCTCTTAGGCGCGGAGTCCGATTTAGCAGAATCGGCTGAATCAGCCTAAAGCCGGCCCTGCCCATTGCTTCTTGTCCTATCCACAGAAGTTAAAAACAACAATTTTTCTCCCTCCTCCTTGTAATAACCTTTTATATACTTGAAAACTGTTATGACCCCTCTGTCTTCTCTTTTCCAGACTAAACAAACCCAATTTTTTTGATCTTCCCTCATAAGTCATGTTTTCTAGACCTTTAATAATTTTTGTTGCTCTTCTCTGGACTTTCTCCAATTTGTCCACATCTTTCCTGAAATGTGGCACCCAGAACTGGACACAATACTCCAGTTGAGGCTGTATCATCATGGAGTAGAGTGGAAGAATTATTTCTCATGTCTTGCTTACAACACTCTTGCTAATACATCCCAGAATATGTTTCCTTTTTTTGCAACAATGTTACACTGTTGACCATAGGCACCAACTCCGTGGGTGCTCCGGGGCTGGAGCACCCATGGAAAAAAATTGGTGGGTGCTCAGCACCCACCGGCAGCTCCCTGTGGCCCCGGCCTGCGCCCCTGCTGCAACTCACCTCCGCTTCCGCCTCCTCCGCGAGCGCGCCGCTGCATCCTGCTTCTCCCCCCTCCCTCCCAGCACTTGTGCTGTGAAACAGCTGATTCGCCGGGCAGGGAGGGGGGGAAGAGGGGGAACGCGGCACACTGGGGGAAGAGGTGGGGCCCGGGAGGGGATTTGGGGAAGGGATCCAATAGGGGCAGGGAGGTGGCAGAATTAGGGTGGGTACTTTGGGGATAGGGTTGGAATGGGGGCGGGGATGGGGTGGAGTTGGGGCAGGGCCACGGGTGGGGAAAGGGGCGGCGGGCGCAGGCACCCACCGGCGCCGGAGAAAATTGGTGCCTATGCTGTTGACTCATATTGAGCTTGTGATCCACTATGATGCCCAGATCCCTTTACGCAGTACTCCTTCTAACGTAGTCATTTCCCATTTTGTATGTGTGCAACTGATTGTTCCTTCCTAAATGGAGTACTTTGCATTTGTCCTTATTGAATTTCATCCTAATTAAGTTAAAACCATTTCTCCAGTTTGTCCAGATCATTTTTAATTTTAATCCTATCCTTCAAGACATTTGCAACCGCTCTCAGCTTGGTATTCTCTGCAAAAATTATATGGGACAGGTTTCAGAGGGGTAGCCGTGTTAGTCTCTATCAGCAAAAACAATAAGGAGTCCTTGTGGCACCTTAGAGACTAACAGATTTATTTGGGAATATCAACAGAGGGAAAATTACTTTTTGTAGTGCTAATGAGGCCAATTCAATCAGGATGGATGTGGCTCACAGATACTCACACCTTCTTGTCAACTGTTGGGAATGGGCCACATCCACCCTGATTGAATTGGCCTCGTTAGCACTGACCCCCCAGTTGGTAAGGCAACTCCCATCTTTTCATGTGCTGTATATTTATATCTGCCTACTGTATTTTTCACTCCATGCATCTGATGAAGTGGGTTATAGCCCATGAAAGCTTATGCCCAAATAAATGTTAGTCTCTAAGGTGCCACAAGAACTCCTCGTTAAAAATTGTAAGTGTACTCTCTATGCCATTATCTAAATCACTGATGAAGATACTGGACAGAACTGGACCCAGAACTGATCCCTGCAGGACCCTACTTGATATGCCCTTCCAGCTTGACTGTGAACCACTGATAACTACTCTCTGGGAACAGTTTCCCAACCAATTATGCACTCACCTTATATTAACTCCATCTAGGTTATATTTCCCTAGTTTGTTTATGAGAAGGTCATGTGAGACAGTATCAAAACCTTACTAAAGTCACGATATATCACATCTACCACTTCCCCCCCATCCACAAGACGTGTTACCTTAAAACTTTTAAAACTTACTTACTTCATATTTCAAATTTGTATGAGACTTTTAAATTTTTACTTGAAAACACAATACTGATACACTAGTACTGTTAAAAAAATACAAGCCTAAGTCACTACTTTCTACAAGAAAATGTATGAAAGGGCCAAATAATTCTGCAAGTTTGAATATATGTAATTTCTATGGAATTCTCCCAGTAAGCCCCATTTTTCACACTGTTTTACAGTTATACTGGGGGTGTGTGCATGCTTTTTATAATAGTTTGTTTCTATAGCTTTGATGATTTAAAATAAAAAAATATTTATTTGTACTATCACAGGCAAGCATGGTGCTTTACAGAAACACATAACAAGATGCATTTACAGTCCTGCTCCTGCAATGGGACTACTCAGGTAATTACAAATGTTAAGTGTTACAGAGACAAGGTGGGTGAAGTAATATCTTTTATTTGACCAACTTCTGGTGGGGAGAGAGACAAGCACTCTTGCAGCAGTCATTCCAAAGACGACATAGGAGTTTGTGAGGATGCAGGGGCCCAGGCGAACAGTGCAGGGGATCACAACCTATTGTAGACACAGCAGCCTACAGACAATGCGGGCATGGAGGAATACAGTTCACCACAAAGATGGCTCAAAGAGTTGCCATTTGTGTAAGAGTACAGCAAGCCAGACAGTGGTGAGGGCCTGGGCTGTATTACTGCACGGTCATCTAGACCACGTCAGCCTCAGCAAAGGACTTGACCAGGAGTAGTCAATAGGCGGACCACAGGCCAAAACTGGAACACCAGACCCTTTTGAAATGACTGTGAAATCTTTTTATTTACTTATTATTATCATTATTGTTATTGTGGTGTGAAAAAAAATGTTCCTCTGGAGTCTAGACCTTCACTATTCCTTGACCAAGACCTTGACAAAAAATAATTGATTACACCGTTGAGCAGTGTGACCTTCCCCTTGCCTTGAGAAGACCCCCCACAGCACTGCGGGGCTGCCCAGGTAGGGCCAGCCTAACCTAATCCTCCTCCCGCGCCCGGCCCACCCATAGGGAGCCTCCTCAGCGGCAGGGCACCTGCCCGGCCCTCAGAGCTTGGAAACCTGGGAACACAAATTCCTACTGCGTTTGCCCAACAGTCACGGACTGAGGCGCAAAAGAAGTTTCTACTGCACATGCGCAGGCGGAGCCGTGTGGGGTACAAAGGTCTGGTTTGCCACTGTGCATCATCTGTCAAGGACGGGTGGGGAGAAGAGAGAAAGCGAGGGGGTTGTTACGCCTGCGCAAACAGGGTCGTAAGTGGCCCGGCTTAAAAACAAGCTGTACTACGCCTGCGCGACTGTGAAACTGGGTAAAGATAGGAGAGACCGTAATCTCGCGCCATGGAAGAAGAAGGAGAAGGTATTGCGCTTGCGTGCCGGGGGGAGGCAGCTGCATTGCGCTTGCGCGGCTTTGTGGGCGGGTGGGGCTGACTCGGCCGTGTTTCTGGGCTGGAATCCTGAGCCTGTGCGGTTGCCAGGGTGACGGGAATACAACATGGCGCGCTGACAGCTCTGCCGGGAGGGGTGGGCGCTGCAGAGAAGGCCTCAGCCTTTCCCTCCCCGTCCCCACTCCGCTGAGGAGCCGCAGGATGAACAGTAAGGGCGGAGAGGGACGGGGCCCGGGGGCGGTGTGAGGGGAGCGAGGGAGAGGGCCTCCCGCTGGGGGGTGGACGGGGGACAGTTTGTCTGTGGAGAGAGAGGGAAATGCGGAGCGGGAGGCGCTAACGGGATGCAGCAGGCAGGATGTGTAAGTGGGAGCGGGATCGCCGTAGGTTGGCAGTGGGTCCCGTGGCAGGGAGCAGACCCTCCTAGGGCAGGGAGAATGGAGATACTGTGTGAGGACGGGGGTGAGGCGGGGTCTAAGTCTTGCTCGGGGGGGGGGTGCATGAGGTGCTTGTGCCCCACTTCTGTTATGTGTGAGTGGAGGACTAGGCTCCAGTGTCAGATCCATTTGGAACAGAAATGGCCCTGCTATTGAGATGGGGATGGAATATGCATATTGGACTATGGGTTGGTGGGAGGGGGACCAGATCCTACTATGCAAAGATATATGAGGGAGATAAGTAGCTGGGGGAAGGACCTGCCCTCTGATTACTAATATCAGTAAAGGAGCACCACAAGACCCACCTCAGCCTCTCGGTTGGTTCTGATGCTGTTGATCATCTTTTCCTTGACTTTTTGCCCTCATTGGCTTTTGAGATACTGTCCTCTTCTGGTTTTCCTCTTACCTGTCCAGTCATTCTTCATCAGGTTCTGTCCTTGGCCCTTTGATCGTCTCACTTTACAGGCTGTCCCTGGACAATATCTTCTCCTTACATGGTTTCAAATATCAACTCTGTGCTGATGACTTTCAAAACTTTCTCTCTACCATTGACCTGTCTCTTTCTAAACAATCCCATCTAATATCCCAGAGGAAATGTCAGAGAGATACGTTATCTTATCCATTTAAACTGAACATGGCCCCAAACAAACTCTTAAACTTTCCTCACAAACCTCCTCTTCCCCCTTTTTTTATCACTGTTGGCACCATTCTCTTTATTACTTATACTGAACATGGGATTAATTTTTAATTTATATCTTTCTCTTGGCCTACAGCGTCTTCCTTCTCAACATCTCCATACGCCATCCTTTTCTTTCCATCTCCACACCCACATTTCTGGTTTAGTTCCTCACTGTATCCCACCTTGACTACTGCAGTATCCTCCTATATTCATAGATTCTAGGACTGGAAGGGACCTCGAGAGATCATGGAGTCCAGTCCCCTGCCCTCATGGCAGGACCCAATACTGTCTAGACCATCCTGGATAGACATTTATCTAACCTACTCTTAAATATCTCCAGAGATGGAGATTCCACAACCTCCCTAGGCAGTTTATTTCAGTGTTTAACCACCCTGACAGTTAGGAACTTTTTCCTAATGTCCAACCTAAACCTCCCTTGCTGCAATTTAAGCCCATTGCTTCTTGTTCTATCCTTAGAGGCTAAGGTGAACAAGTTTTCTCCCTCCTCCTTATGACACCCTTTTAGATACCTGAAAACTGCTATCGTGTCCCCTCTCAGTCTTCTCTTTTCCAAACTAAACAAACCCAATTCTTTCAGCCTTCCTTCATAGGTCATGTTCTCAAGACCTTTAATCATTCTTGTTGCTCTTCTCTGGACCCTCTCCAATTTCTCCACATCTTTCTTGAAATGCGTTGCCCAGAACTGGACACAATACTCCAGTTGAGGCCTAACCAGCGCAGAGTAGAGCGGAAGAATGACTTCTTGTGTCTTGCTCACAATACACCTGTTAATGCATCCCAGAATCATGTTTGCTTTTTTTTGCAACAGCATCACACTGTTGACTCATATTTAGCTTGTGGTCCACTATAACCCCTAGATCCCTTTCTGCCATACTCCTTCCGGCCTGGTCCACACTAACCCCCCACTTCGAACTAAGGTACGCAAATTCAGCTACGTTAATAATGTAGCTGAATTCGAAGTACCTTAGTCCGAACTTACCGCGGGTCCAGACGCGGCAGGCAGGCAGGCTCCCCCGTCGATGCCGCGTACTCCTCTCGCCGAGCTGGAGTACCGGCGTCGACAGCGAGCACTTCCGGGATCGATCCGGGATCGATTTATCGTGTGTAGACAAGACGCGATAAATCGATCCCAGAAGATCGATTGCCTGCCGCCGAACCAGGAAGTAAGTGTAGACCTGCCCTCCTAGACAGTCTCTTCCCATTCTGTATGTGTGAAACTGATTGTTCCTTCCTAAGTGGAGCACTTTGCATTTGTCTTTGTTAAACTTCATCCTGTTTACCTCAGACCATTTCTCCAATTTGTCCAGATCATTTTGAATTATGACCCTATCCTCCAAAGCAGTTGCAATCCCTCCCAGTTTGGTATCATCCGCAAACTTAATAAGCGTACTTTCTATGCCAATATCTAAGTCGTTAATGAAGATATTGAACAGAGCCGGTCCCAAAACAGACCCCTGCCGAACCCAACTTGTTATACCTTTCCAGCAGGATTGGGAACCATTAATAACTACTCTCTGAGTATGGTTATTCAGCCAGTTATGCACCCACCTTATATTAGCCCCATCTAAGTTGTATTTGCTTAGTTTATCGATAAGAATATCATGCGAGACCGTATCAAATGCCTTACTAAAGTCTAGGTATACCACATCCACCGCTTCTCCCTTATCCACAAGACTCGTTATCCTATAAAAGAAAGCTATCAGATTGGTCTGACATGATTTGTTCTTTACAAATCCATGCTGGCTATTCCCTATCACCTTACCACCTTCCAAGTGTTTGCAGATGATTTCCTTAATTACTTGCTCCATTATCTTCCCTGGCACAGAAGTTAAACTAAGAAGGTCTGTAGTTTCCTGGGTTGTTTTTATTTCCCTTTTTATAGATGGGCACTATATTTGCCCTTTTCCAGTCTTCTGGAATCTCTCCTGTCTCCCATGATTTTCCAAAGATAATAGCTAGAGGCTCAGATACCTCCTCTATTAGCTCCTTGAGAATTCTAGGATGCATTTCATCAGGCCCTGGTGACTTGCAGGCATCTAACTTTTCTAAGTGATTTTTAACTTGTTCTTGTTTTATTTTATCTTCTAAACCTACCCCCTTCCCATTAGCATTCACTATGCTAGGCATTCCTTCAGACTTCTCGGTGAAGACCGAAACAAAGAAGTCATTAAGCATCTCTGCCATTTCCATGTTTCCTGTTACTGTATCTCCCTCCTCACTGATCAGTGGGCCTACCCTGTCCTTGGTCTTCCTCTTGCTTCTAATGTGTATCGTCTCCCAATTCAAACTGCAGCCACTAAAGTAATCTTCCTTGCTGTCAATTTGATCACATTACTATCCTCTCTGAATTCCTACACTTGCTCTCCATCCACAGTTATGTTTAAACTGTTGATCACTCCCTTCAAGGCTCTATTTAAATCTGCCCCTCCCTACTTATCCTCGCTTGTCGAACTTTATGGCATTTCTACCCCACCAGTTTTCCCACCCTCATCTGCAGATTTGTCAATGTCGAACAATCACCTCTGTGTCTTTCATATGGCCACCTCTGCATTGTTAGACCTCCCTGAATCTGCAAATTTCAAAATAGCAGCTGTGTTAATCTGTATCCGCAAAAAGAACAGGAGTACTTGTGGCACCTTAGAGACTAACAAATTTATTTCAGCATAAGCTTTCGTGGGCTACAGCTCACTTCTTCTATGCATCCGAAGAAGTGAGCTGTAGCCCACGAAAGCTTATGCTGAAATAAATTTGTTAGTCTCTAAGGTGCCACAAGTACTCCTGTTCTTTTTCCTGAATATGCAAGACTTCTACTTTCTCGCTCTTAGAAACCCACTTCTCCCATGCTACCTATAGCGTATTTTGTTGATTTGTATAGAAAATCATTTTGTTTTCCTTCCTTGACTTCTGTCTGCCTTTCGGTCTATCCTGAAACTGCGAACTTCTTGAAACAGGGACATCCTTTCTTGTATGTCTAAAAAGTGCCTTGTTTGTTATGAATGCTACTGAAATCAATTCCTAATTGGGGATTAGGCCCTTTCTGTTCTAGATATTGTATACACCAGTGTGGATAAAAATGATGTTTAAATAAAAATTTGATTTAAATTTTTAAATAAACAATTGAAGTAAAAAAATCATTTAAAAAAAAAATTTCTAGTTCTTTACTTTCTTTCCATTTTAAAGTCTTAAGTTGCTAATGTGGATGTTTTAAGAACGTAAGAATGGCCCTATTGGGTCAGACCAAAGGTCCATATAGCCCAGTATCCTGTCTTCCAATAGTGGCCAGTGCCAGGTGCCCCAGAGAGAATGAACTGAACAGGTAATCATCAAGTGATCCATCCCCTCTTGCTCAATCCCAGCTTCTGGCAAACAGAGGCTAGGGACACCATTCCTGCCCATCCTGGCTAATAGCCATTGATGGACCTATCCTCCACGAATTTATCTAGTTCTTTTTTGAACCCTGTTATGGTCTTGGCCTTCACAACATTCTCTAGCAAGGAGTTCCACAGATTGACTGTGCGGTGTGTGAAGAAATACTTCCTTTTATTTGTTTTAAACCTGATGCCTATTAATTTCATTTGGTGACCCTTAGTTCTTGTATTATGAGAAGTAGTAAACAACACTTCCTTATCTACTTTCTCTACACCAGTCATGATTTTATAGACCTCAATCATATCTCCCCTTAGCCGTCTCTTTTCCAAGCTGAAAAGTCCCAGTCTTATTAATCTCTCCTCATACGGAAGCCGTTCCATACCCCAAGTTTTATACTTGTTTCCTAATTATTAGTAGAATTTGAGGCTTTATAGAGATTTTTTCCTACTGAAAGTTTCACACTTAAAATGCTAATCTGTACCGAAAAGTCAAGTTTACGTCCTCTAACATCGTTCCTTTGACAAATGGAATATCTTTCTCTTGGCCTACAGCGTCTTCCTTCTCAACATCTCCATACTCCATCCTTTCACACAGCAAGCCTATGAGTGTGACCCCCCTTATATATTAAAAACACTTTAAAAATATTTAACACTATTATGAATGCTGGAGGCGCAGTGGGGTTTGGGGGTGGAGGGCGATAGCTTGTAACCCCCCCCCATAATAACCTTGTGACCCCTCAGGGGGTCACGACCCCCAGTTTAAGAACCACTGCCATATAGACACCACTAGGTAGACAGAAGAATTCTTCTGTTGACCTAGCTACTGCCTCTCAAGAGGGTGGATTCACTCTAGTGATGGAAAAACCCCTGTTGCTCTAGCATGTGTCTATACTATGTTGCTGTAGCATAGCTGCAGTGCCGCAGTACCCTAAGTCTCCTATAGCTGTCAGGCATGAGGGTGTGAGGGAGGAAAGAGGTCTTTGTTACTTTACCTCTCCCTTGGTCTCTACTGTTTGGATTCTTCTCTGTGAATAACTCCACTGCCTGCTTCCTTTGTTGTTCATAGGCTTTCCCCAGCAGTAACAGTAGCATGAAACTGACATGAATTGGTTTACCTTCAGCTCACTGGTGGAGATGGTTGTTGAACCTATAGGTGCAGATGAGATTACCAAGGACAGAATGTGAAGGGACACTAAGCAATGAGGGGACTTGAGAGGATGAATAAGACTGGCTGATGGAACAGTCAGTATTACTGGAGCAGGACCAATCAAGTACATCTAAAGGAAGTTAAGGAAAGAGAAATATAGTTTGGGTCAAAGACAAGATGATACCACCCTCATTTCTGCGCTGCCTCTGGAGGTGGGTCTGATCTCCTCACCAAGAGCGGCTGTGCAGGGCCGTCCTGTCCCTCCCCAGCGTGGCTAGACTAGCAGCTAGGAGCCTCAGGCTCCCAGCAGCAGGGAAGATCAGATTTCATGGAGGAGGGCTGATTTCACAGTCCTTGACACATTTTTCACGGCTGTGAAATTGGTAGGGCCCTAGCTATGACAGAAAAAAGGCATCTTGTATGTACAGAGGTATCGTGTCACGGAGCAGGGAGGTCATAGTTTGTACTCTGGGATTGTGTTAATGTATTGTACAATCAATAATATGAGCATCAGTAGGATGGGGCAGTAAAACCCAATTTGCTCTAATTCAATTTAATTTTTTTCCCAAATGATTGACATGTGAACCACAACCAAAAGCGTAATATTGAAAATCACCCAGCAAAGACAGAATTTAATGAAAATCAACTAAGGATAAATATAAAAATATTTACTGTTTACAACAAAACTTACTTTTAAATTTTAAAATTTAAATATTTTTGTTTTTAGAATATAAACCTATTGGTAAAATAGGTGAGGGAACATTTTCTGATGTTCTGAAGACACAGAGTCTTAGGGATGGAAATTACTACGCATGCAAACAAATGAAACAGCATTTTGAAAGGTAGGTATAGTTGATCATACTATTGCCCAAAATATGAAAACTTTGTTTACATTTATTGGGGAAATAAATATAAATTTAAGACTGACTAGAGGATTCTGAATACTTGTTCATGTGTATTGAAAAATATGTTTGCATACGTTAGAAAGGGGGAACTGAGGGCCTGATCATATAGCAAATTATTATTTGGCATTGTGCTTTCTACCAAGTAGACCCATTGATGTTACTCACTGTAGCAAATTCTATACCTGCTTGTCAACTGAATTGAGACCAGGATTAGAGAGAGAGGAGGACTGGGGTCTTTGTTCATTCCTATCTACTATTTGTTCCTGTCACTACTCTGGTCTTGGTTTTACATTTGTAAATGAATTCCTACCAGAAAGGAAAAGTAGAATATGTCTGAACATGCTCGTGTCATTTTTCTTCCTGCCATAAATGAATTAGTAGAAGAAGATGGTGTAAAGAACACCCTCGTTATCCATTGTCAGGTTCATTTTAAAATGTATTTTATTGTGGATCGTGTAACAGTAGTTATTTTCTCTCCCTATACAGATTTTGTTCCTCTTTGTATTTTGTATTTGCCTTTATTCACATTTGATTGTGTCCTCTAATAGTGGGCAACACAAGTCACAGTGGGAGCTCTTTCTTATTAGGAAAATGGGATTCACTGCACACCCACACACAGCATTCTCATCCAAATTAAGGTGCACAACCCCTAACTTTAGCAAGGGGTCAAGTTCAGCTCTCAGTTAGACACATTCATTTCCTATTGATTTCAGTGGGAGTTACTTTATAACAATTGACGTTGCGTCTATTGCTTTGAAAAATTTCAGGTTTGATTCAGTGCTCTGTTGCTGCACAGATTATGAAGTCAATCAGATCTGCAGAGATTAAGGAAGAGTGAGTTTACCAACACAAATCCATCCTTTTCCTTTAAATGGAAAAAAAATTAATCAGCCAAGGCCACTGAATATAAACTTTCTACTATAGCCACTTTGTGCTGGTCCATTGGTACAATGGAGTCATAAACTCACTGGATCTGGCCAGCTGGAGGAACAAGGTGTATGTAAAAGTGGTTCTGTCCTTAGTTACACTGAGTGAAGCTTGGTTACAACCCAGTATTTGGTCCAGAATGTTCAGAATACGCACACAAATTTCTTGGCTAATCAATTTTAGAAATATTAAAAACTGAGAATTTGTTTAATTAGCTCTATGTATGAGGTTTATTTGGGAAAGATGGCAATTTGCTGGTGCTGAGTTTTGGGTTTTTTTTAATTGTGTTTGTTGTTGTTAACACAAACCAGGCTTCCATTATGTCTCACTGAAGTTATGATCAGTTTATTTTTGTTTATCAGGATTAAATCTTATTAGATGGTGAGGTAGCTGGCCCTGTCACGTAAACCAGTATTGATGAGTCAGTCAGTTTTACACAGTGTACTCCAAGTAAAATTACTATTATTTACAGATCGTTGAAACTGGCAGTGTATTTTGTGAAACAGATTCCAGCAATAGATTTTTATCAGGGAAATTCATACGGGCAGTTCAAATCTATACTCTTTTGACAAATTCTGCATATTTATCTTAAAATATAGGACTTTTCATGTTGTTACTTATATAAAAAGGATCAGAAATAGCATCTTTTGAGTATATATTTTCCTTTTTTAATGTATATTGAAATTGATTAAAAACAAACATGAAAATTGTACTACTTTGGTTCTGAAAATAACCCTCATTGTGTAAATCAATTGACTGTGGTCATGTTTTGAATTAAAAGTAGGAACATTTTATTCCACATTTTATTTGGGACCATTCAGAAAAGCTAACATTAAGCACTGAGACCAAAAACATATCATGTTAGTTTTCAGAGATCTGTTTTAGTTTTGTCTCTTTTCTTATTAAAAAAGAAAACAGACTCTCTAGAGTTGAGACCAAATTAACAAAAATAAATACTAGTTATAAGATTAAGAAATTTTGAGTGTGTTCAACTCATTGCACTTAGATGGCCACCATTCCCATATTTACAAGGGATTGTGAGAACATCTTCCCTATGATGCGTTAAAGTCTCCCTTAGGTCTTGGACCCTCTGATAGTTATGAATGGCTAGAGGTTACACTTTTACTGGAATGTTCACTTATAGCTATAGGTAATAGTGAGATAAATTGATCTTGCTAGTACAGGATAATTTTCTTATTTTCATGTTGAAACACAAGGATTTTGGCATTTGGCTAACTCTTGATCAGCTTGTGAAAGGAAAAGCTTATCCTGTAGTGATTTGCTATATCTAGTGTCCATGCAAGGCCATTGAAGCCCCATAAAATGAATTTTCCCCCCAACGGTTTCTGTAGCTTGGACTTCTAATGGTTAATTGAGTCCCAGGCATGAGTGGCATGATTAAATACTATGTTTTAATTAGCTAGTAAAATACTGTGTTTTAGTTCTTCACACTAGTGGTTATTAATTTTAAATTGAGTTTTAACGCTAATGATTACACAGGGCTAGATTGTGACTTTAGGCATAGTCTATAGCTGTAAGCTGCACCAACCCAGGAGTAGCCGTGGGAGTTATTGTGACTTGGACGCACAATTCCTCTCAGATTTCTTTCTTGCTCCTGCGGAGTAGTAATTTACTTCTGGTCTACACCAACAGTAAATTACTACCCACCTCTCCTGGGTCAGCCAATCTGGTCAGCAAGAAGGGGAAGTGGAGCCAGGATATTATCCATTTCCTACCCCATTCCCTTGCCCCAGGCAATTAACTCCCCAATTACTTCTGCATTCCTGGACCCCAGATTTGGGTAGCTTGCATAGGGACATAAGAGGAGGGGAGGTTCTTGCTCCCTTGTGTGGGGACTTAGTCACAATCTAATTCCTAACTTGTAAACTAGTTTTCCACTCTCACTTCTTTTTTAAATTACACATTAGTATCGAGCAAGTGAATAGTCTGCGAGAAATACAAGCACTGAGGCGACTGAATCCACATCCTAATATCCTTATGTTACACGAGGTGGTTTTGTAAGTACAGTGTATTTATTTCCCCTACTTCCTATATCCTCTATTTGAAAATTTTTCAGTAGCTTTTGGAGACAAAAGATAGTTTGGAGGCATTTAACCAATTATTTATTCCACCAAAAAGGAAAACTTTGGAAGATCTGTCTGATTCTCCCAAGCCCTCATGCCTCTTGTTAGGCAAAGATATGATACAGTTCTAAATTGCACTTTTCAGTTTCTTTAGAGTGTATTGCTGCAAAAACATCAGAACTACAACATCCATACTAAAAATATGGGAAAACTGGTGACCTGGGACAAGAGATATTTTAAGCAATTAATAAACAAATTTATATTCTGGTTTTACGGGAAGGAGACTTCATGCCTACTACCCTCGAAGGCTCCATGTACTCTGTTGCACAGATAGACCAAATTCTGTAGCAAAGTTGACTTATTCTATTGCCATGTAATTACCTTCATCCTCCTCACCCCTATGCAACTGCACAGAACTATGGTTCATTGCTGAAAATAATCAGGCATAACATTTGTTAATTATTATTTTCAAGGATTTTTTTTTGCTTTGCTCTTCAGGCTGACTTTTTCTATTCCCTGGGCCTCAGCTCTTGCAGTGTTATCCAAACAACCCAGCTTAGAACCTACTTCCCACCACAAGTGCCAGAAGAGGGAAGCTAGTAGTCATCTTTAATAACCCATCTCCCAAGTTCCCTAGATCTAGCTGCAGGCCACATTATCAGCCACTCTCTTGCTGCAAGGTGGACTCTATTTCTGGTTCCCCGATTCCTTTTTCCCTGGCTCAACTGAACAGTGCAGGGAGCATGCACTGTAATCAAATTAACACCTTGTTATTAGGAAAGGAAGAGGCATCCGTAGACAGGTCCCACCAGGGCAAGGAGACATAAAACAAAATGTCGGTTGCCAGCTGCAGGAACATGATGAATTCCGTGGCATTTGGGAAAAACATCAAGTTATTCATCAGCAGAGTTGTGAAGTCCACAGGGGCCCTGTTTTGAGATTAATGAGGTAGGTCACACTTCTCGGGGAGATGTTCCAGCTCCCTGCAGAGTCAAACAGGAAACACTGCATCAGTTTACTCTCTGTTCATATTCACAAGTTTTTCTGCAACCACAAGGGTTAAACTTTTTTTTTAAAAATCTCAGATTCTGGAGTAAAATGTTTGAATGTCACAATTGTGGAATAGGCTGGGTCCTGCTTTTAATCATTTCACAGCTCCTATTGCATACATAGTACCAGGCAAAATGAAAAAGCACAGATGGACAACAATTACCGTTCTGAAGGTCATTCCCAATATAGACTCATAGACTTTAAGGTCAGAAGGGACCAGGGCCATCATGATCATCTAGTCCAGAGGTCCCCAAACTGTGGGGCGCAAGGGGGCATGGAGGAACGTTCTGGGGGTGCAGCTAGGGCCCGGGCCAGCCTCCAGATGAGGCGTGATATCCGGGTCCCTGGCCACCAGCTCCGCACCCTGGGCTTTGCTCCTGGTCTCTCCCCTCCACCCCCAGCTGTGGCCCCAGCCTCAGCCCTCTTACCCCTGTCCACGTCCTCCGCTCCTGGAGCCATGGCACCACTCCCGGCTCTGGGGTGGGTGGGGGCACAGACAGGGGTAAAGGGGGGCGTGAGGTGAAAAGTTTGGGGACCACTGATCTAGTCTGACCTCCTGCACATTGCAGGCCACAGAACCTCACCCACCCACTCCTGTAATAGACTCCTAACCTCTGGCTGAGTTACTGAAGTCCTCAAATCATGGTTTAAAGACTTCAAGTTACAGGGAATCCACTATCATAGAAAACTGCGACTGTCAAAATGTAGAATTTAGAAAGTGACATACTCATTTAAAAATGTTACTTATTTTGGCCACACTGAACAATATTGGGCCCAGCTCAACTATTAAATATTTTCAGATATGGCACAATGCTTTTGTATCTCTTATCAATTTTTAGCATATACTTTATGGCTATATTATGTCTTGCTATTGCTATTTTATTGGGGCTCCCAGACTGCATCATTGTGCCATACTTAGAGTAAAATCCATACAGTACTTGGAAGGCTAAGGAGGCTTCCTGCCAGGAGAGCCAGATGCAAAGAGTTTGGAAAAATGCCATTGTAAATTAAAATTATAAATCAATTTGAATAGGCTTCTCTAGGTAAAGGTTTGTTGAAACTGAAAACTACAAATTGCGTTATTGATGATTAAACTGACTCTTTTGCGGAGTGGAGTACTTTTTGTCTACTTTGTGTACAAATGCAAATATAATTTTATTTCTTGCTCAGAAAAAAAACCTATTTGTTTCTTCAGTGACAGAAAATCTGGCTGTCTTGCACTAATATGTGAACTTATGGACATGAATATTTATGAGCTAATAAGAGGTATGTAGAGCATGTTTGAGTCATTCAAAATCCTCTCTTTCACAGACCATAAAGTGGCACTAATCGTACTTTTCACTTGGCTGTTCATGTAATGGTTATATAGTATGAAATTTAAGAGTATATTGTACAATTTTTAGGGAAATTTCTACTATTTTATGGCTGTTTCCTATACTATATAGACATTTTAAATTTAGAAACTTGTGCACACGTCTATTTTTAAATGAGTCAGAGTAGTGACTGTATAGAGCACTATTAATATACATGATGAAACATGAAAGGAAAACAGGGAAACAACCCTGATTGTAAAGCATGGAAAGTTTGTATTTCATTACATTATACATTTTCATTATAAAAATTACCAGTTTAATGGTAAGAAAATTGTGCTCATTTTGTTTGAAAGCAGCAAATCTTTTAGTTGAAACATAATAAAGTTTGAGAACCAAGGTAAGTCTATTCAAGAAGGGCTCATGATAGAGTGACAGAAGCCTCTACAGCTTCTGCTAAACTTATCCCCATATAGGAAATCTGCCACATTACTACCTGGAACTTCCTTCATGTTCTGTAAACATTAGTGTCTAGCTTCTGATGCTAGAGCAGCTGTTTTTCAGTGTAAGAATTAGGACCATGGGAGGAGTTTCCAGGAAAAGACAGTAGGATGATTTGTCAGTAACTAAAGACAGTAAATTGAAGTGGAGGAAGGCTAGAGTGTGTTGGTCATGTATTTTTAGAACTGTCTAAACACAAAAGTTGTACTGCTTTAATTATATGACCCCCTGCACTCTGTGGACACAGTTATAGTGGTGCTTGTATCAGTGTAGTTTATCCATGTAAGAGAAAGAGAATAAGCTATACTGGTCTATAGCACCTTTATACTGGGGTAAGTCCATCCACACAAGGGATTGTACTAATAACTATATACGTTTAAAGAAAAATCACATCCCTAACCAACAGTTTCTGTACTGGCATAACTATGTAGACTAGGCCGCATAGACACTTTGAGAGCTGGATACTGGTTGCTGGCTGGGGCTAGGGAGGTTGTTATTGAAGTTTAATGTGCAGGGTGATTTCAAAATTTAAAATAGTCACTAGAAAAGCCAAAGTGCCCAGGGTATGATAAGTGGTGCTATAAAACCCAAATAAGCAAATAAGAGTATTGCTTGCTGAGTTACAATCTAGAGAAAAGTTCCTACTAGCTTCAAGGAGACCATGCTTTCAGACCTCTTGCAATGGTGAATAACCCTGTTTCTTATCTATAAATAGATCAAAAGCTGAAATTAGAATGCCGAAAAGTAGTTTAACTATGCTTATCATTGTAAAAGTTGAGTCATGCAGTAGCTCGTGTCTTTGTTATTAAAACATAAATAATAGCCTTATGGTATCATTAGTAAGTCTGAGTCAGTAATGTAAGGAGCTGTCATCTACAGTGGATTAATCGGATGGATTGTAAGCAAAACTTTCTGGTTCCAGAAAACAGATCTGAGCGATACTTACTTCAGTTCTAAAACATTAAAATGTTTAGGTTTGTACTTCAGAACTGACTGAAGTATTTGCTGTGTCACTTATTGTTCAGCTTAACGGTGAAGCTCACACCTATAATTTAATAAACAAAACCACCATATTAACTATTTCTTGCAATTGGAATTAACAAAATTCCAGTACTTTCAGCAATGAGTCTGTTTTCCTTGTGACATAGAGCTCCTCAGCTACAAAATCTTTAAAAGCCATTAGATCCTGTCAATAGGGCACTGGAGTCCAGGATTCTGCTCCCAGCAGACACTGATCTGCTGCTTGGCTTTTGGCGTGTCATGTCAATTTCATGCTTGTTTCCTCTCCCAACCTCTATCTTGTCTAGTCTATTTAGATGGTAAGCTTTGTGAATAAGGACCACCTCTCACTGTGTTTGTACAGAGCCTAATGCAGTGGCTAGGGCCTGTAGGTGTTACTAAAATAAAAATAATGGTCTTCCATCACAGGCACTCAGGTTTCAACAACATTCATCCCCACAGGGCTTGCTGACTCCCAATCTATATACAACCCCATTAGTCACCAAAATGATGCAATCACAGCTTCCTTGGAACCCTGTTTAAGAATGGAGCCAGCTTGTTGGGAGCTAGAAGAGCTGTTTGATATAGTTTTGAGGGAGGGAAAACACTTATGGCTCTAGGAAGCTATACAAGAAAGAGTGTGTCAAATAGAATAGATATCTGAAAGCCTATAGACCAGGGATCGGCAATCTTTGGCCCGTGGCCCGTCAGGGAAAGCCGCTGGCGGGCCGGGCTGGTTTGTTTACCTGCAGCATCCACAGGTTTGGCCGATCGCGGCTCCCACTGGCTGTGGTTCGCCATCTCAGGCCAATGGGGACTGCAAGAAGCAGTGGCCAGCACATCCCTCGGCCCGCGCTCCTTCCCGTAGCCCCCATTGCCTTGGGACGGCGAACCACGGCCAATGGGAGCCGTGATCGGCCAAACCTGTGGATGCTGCAGGTAAACAAACCTTTCCCTGATGGGCCGCGTGCCGATCCCTGCTATAGACCAACTCTGCTTTGAGTTCAGAAGGAAAAGGTGGCCTTTCTACAACTGCAGCATATAAGTAGTTATGGTAGAAGGTAGCTATTTCAGCAGAGTAGGGTCTAGTTAGCTGCAGCTGGATGGATGTTGGGAGACCTAGAATGAAAATAATAGAAAGATTAGTATTCTGCACTTCCTTCCTTAGCCTGGTGTGTGGATGGGAGTGGATTTGAATACCTGACTTAGGCTTGGTCTGCACTACCAACTTATGTCAATATCATTACATCACTCAAGGATGTGGAAAATCCACACCCCTGAGCAACATAGTTATACCACCCTAACCTCCCCAGTGTAGACAGCGCTATGTCGATGGGAGGGCTTCTCCTGTTGACATAGCTGCCATCTCTCCGGGAGGTGGAGTACCTACACCAACAAGAGAAGCCCTCCCACTGGCTTAGGTAGAGTCTTCACTACATTTTACAGCATTGCAGCTGCAGTGCTGTAAATTTAGACAAGCCCTTAGTCTGGTTAGGGAGGTGAAAGTTGAATGCTGTAGTCTGGATAATGGGGAGAAACCAGCATTGCAAAAAGAGTTCTAAGTCCATTTGCAACTCCCCTTTTAAAAGTGTGCTCTCTAATTTTTTTAGTAGCCATCTGGAGTTATCTTTGAATGCCTTGAAGGGGAGATGGATTTTCTGAATATAAGACCAGGATATAAACTGGTAATTCGATGGATAAAAGTTTCTACCAAATCAAAGTTTTTCATAGGAAGATTCCAAGTTTGCTGACATTTTTGATTTTCTGTTAGGAAAACCAAAATATTTCATGTCAGGTTGGGTCAACTCAAATTGAAACATTACAGTTTAGTTCAGTTTGATATTGAACTGCATCCATCTGAGCTGCTATGATACCTCATGCCCACGTTCTTTTTTATGGGCTGGGCTGCCTGGCTGGACTGCATTTCCCATGATTCACCACTGTCTCATCTCTTGTTTAACTTCTGTAGTGCATCATGGGAAAGGTACTATGGGGAGCCTGGGTCATAGAGGAGAATGGGGTATGAGGCACCTGATCTACAGCTTCACATGAGGCAGCAAGATAACATTTTATTACATTTTCAAATTGAATTGTTTTGGAACTTTCTGTTCTGTGCAAAAAATATTTCAACTTTGTCTCAATGAAACACATCTGCCAAAATATCAACATTTCCTGTGGAAGGAAATTCTGATTTTGAACTAGCAATAGCCACAAACAGAGCCACCAAAAAGAAAGGGCACCTGCAAAACCCAGCAATACTTGAGACGTGCCATTTTAAAACCTAGAAAATGTTCACTGTTAAGCTCCCAACACACAGTTGGACTGGAAAGTAAATGAATCCTTCTTAATTTTGAAAAGTATAGCATTCAACAACTTTGAGAATATTACCTGGATGATAGTTGCAACTAAATAAAAAGATCTCCTTTTGTAACGGCACCGTTCTGAAGCAGAAGGAGCATATGGCTAAACTGTATATCACTCTTCTGTACATATTATTTTATTGATGCTTTCTCAGAGAGCAGACCTCCACAGCTGTGCACCCACACAAACTAGTTAACATTTCAGACTGTTTCAGTGTGCAGAAAAGATATGGATTACTACCAGTAAACAATATCTCTTTAGTGTTAATTATGCTTTAATTTTCTGAATAAAATTATGAACCCTGCAAAATAAAATTTGGAGAAAGGCATAAAACTACTACAAAAAGCTTTTTTTAAATCAGTGGAGACAATGAAAGAGGGGAAGCAAATGTCTAGAACCAGCTGGTCTGTACAAAGTTTTGGAATGAAGAAAATTTTCTAATTGGAACAGGTGTGTGGGAACAGCAATGTTTAGGAAAACAGCATTTATTCAGTTCCTTATTGGCACTGGTCTTGGAAATTAATCCTATTTTTTTTTTCTGAAAAAATTCTGGTTGACAGAAACATTAACATTGGTTATATAGATTAGGACTATTTTGAAAGTGTCTTTAAAACTACTCAAGTAGGGAAAGAATTATGACCTAATTTCCTTACAAAGTTATGTTCTGAATAGAACATTTAGTGCCATAGAGCGCCTTCATTCACTATCTACAAACTAGACACGCAGCTCTATTCCAATGAAGTCAATGGGAATTTTGCCAGTGACTTTAGTGGAAGCAGGTTAGGGCTCTTAAGATCTGGAGAAGATTCCGTGGATACAAATGCATTGCAGCCACATACAAGGTAACATCTTCCTGTTGTGCTTCTGTTCATAATTATTTATTGAGTTAAGCTTTTATAATGTTGTAATTCTAAAAGCTGAAGAGCATTGGTTCAGTCCTGAAAGGTGACTTGCAAAGGGAAAAACAGTTGAGCTTGTGCCTTGTTATGAAGATGCCTACATTTTTTTTTTTTAATTCTGTTTTTAATGTTAGTAATTCAGAGTTTGTCTGATGTGGAAGACTCTGTAACCTTGTCTACCCTAAGAAAGTTTTTC